ACTAGAACTAACACTAGACCTAGAACTAGAATCATTCGGGTTTAGCCGTCTTGAGAGACGTGAGGCTAAACCGGAATGTTTCTAGTTCTAGGTGTAGTGTTAGTTCTAGTTTTACACTAACACTGTTACTAGAACTAACACTATACCTAGAACTAGAATCATTCGGGTTTAGCCGTCTTGAGAGAGGTGCGGCTAAACCCGAATGTTTCTAGTCCTAGGTGTAGTGTTAGTTTTAATTTTACACTAACACTGTTATTAGAACTAACACTATACCTTGGACTAGAATCATTTTGGTGTAGCCGTCTTGAGAAACGTGCAGCTAAACCCAAATGTTTCTAATTCTAGTGTTAGTTCTGGTTTTACACTGGCACTGTTACTAGAACTAACACTATACCTAGAACTAGAATCATTCGGGTTAGCCGTCTTGAGAGACGTGATGCTAAACCGGAATATGTCTAGTTCTGGGTGTAGTGTTAGTTCTAGTTTTACACTAACACTGTTACTAGAACTAACACTATACCTAGAACTAAAATTATTCGGATTTAGCCGTCTTGAGAGACGTGCGGCTAAACCCGAATGTTTCTAGTCCTAGGTGTAGTGTTAGTTCTAATTTTACACTAACACTGTTATTAGAACGAACACTATACCTTGGACTAGAATCATTTTGGTGTAGCCGTCTTGAGAAACGTGCAGGTAAACCCAAATGTTTCTAATTCTAGTGTTATTTCTGGTTTTACACTGGCACTGTTACTAGAACTAACACTATACCTAGAACTAGAATCATTCGGGTTTAGCCGTCTTGAGAGACGTGAGGCTAAACCGGAATGTTTCTAGTTCTAGTNTTGCGAACCTAACAGAACATCGTCCAGCCGTTTTTCTTCACTCAATGATAACCTGTCGATTAACAATTTTTTGAGTGAAGAATATGGATTTATGTCTGGAGGGTTCTGTATGAGATCTACCACGGTAGAGATGATCTCATCGTCTAGTGTTAGTTCTAATTTTACACTAGCACTGTTACTAGAACTAACACTATACCTAGAACTAGAATCATTCAGGTTTAGCTGTCTTGAGAGACGTGCGGCTAAACCCGAATGTTTCTAGTCCTAGGTGTGGTGTTAATTCTAATTTTACACTAACATTGTTATTAGAACTAACACTATACCTTGGACTAGAATCATTTTGGTGTAGCCGTCCTGAGAGACGTGCGGCTAAAATCAAATGTTTCTAGTTCTAGGTGTAGTGTTAGTTCTAGTTTTATACTAACACTATATCTAGAACTAGAATCATTCGGGTTTAGCCGTCTTAAGAGACTTGCGGCTAAACCCGAATGTTTCTAGTTCTAGGTGTAGTGTTAGTTCTAGTTTTAATTGTGATACGGTATTAGATTGTTGTATATTTTTATTAAACTGAAAGTGCAAATTAAAAATTTTTCATTTAACGGACTTTCGGCTATAACGAACACTCCATTCTCAGCATTATTCTCAGTATTAGTCCATTATATCGAGGATTTACTGTAATACATAACAATATATTATGTTGTAAACTATTGATTTTGAATTACTTTTTTTATTCAAAGAGAAACTAGGTAAGTAAATAAAGTTTTGGGTTATTAACTGTTAAAGTACCATGTCAATAGGGGTACCACAATCTTAATGGAGTTGCCATGGTCACAACCCTTCAAACAATAGAACGTAACCCCAGTGCCTACCGGATAGGTGCAAAGATCGAATGGAGAAATGGTTTTCAGGAAGTAAATTGTGGTTATTTGGAAACCAGTTGCAACTATTACCAAAAAGGTAAGACAATCCTTTTTATACCAAAAAAAAACTTTTTTTAAACACTTAAAAATCCGTATATCTTCGTTAAAATAAATCTTATTAAACTTCCGTTTACTTATTCATCCATATCATTTAATATCATAAAAAAAAAGAATTTTTCACCTTATTAATATTCTAGGTCGCCTTCGAATATACAGTTTTAATATTTTATTATGAGATTTTCATTGCAGCGTTTATAAATCGATACCTTAATACCTTAATGTAACGTTATTATTTTTGAACCGATAGAGTTGTTACGCAAAATCAATCTGTGCCCGATGAAAGATAAGGGTTTAATTACGTCTAGTGTAATTGTTGCTAATTTTAGAACGAGGACCCCATCGAAAACTATGGAACGATACGAGAAATTAGCCAAATTGGGCGAAGGAAGTTACGGGATTGTTTATAAATGTAGAAATAGGGATACCGGTGAAATCGTCGCTATTAAAAAGTTTGCAGAAAGCGAAGATGATCCGTTAATTAGAAAAATCGCTCTACGTGAAGTCAGATTATTAAAAGTAAATTGGGTTTATTATAATGTTTTAATGATGTTAATAATTTTTTTTTATTAATAGAATTTAAAACATCCTAATTTGGTGAATCTTCTTGAAGTTTTTCGAAGAAAACGCCGTTTGCATTTAGTTTTTGAATTTTGTGAACGAACAGTATTGAATGAATTAGAAAGGTATTATTCAGTACTAAAAACATCCGAGTTTAGTACTTATATTAAGTTTTAATTTTTAGATATCCAAGAGGTTGTCCTGAAATAGTAACCAAGCAAATAATTTGGCAAACATTACAAGCAGTATCATATTGTCATCAACATGGTTGCATTCACAGAGATATCAAACCAGAAAATATTCTTTTAACTGCATCGGGTGTTGTAAAATTGTGTGATTTTGGTTTTGCACGCATGTTAAGTCCTGGTGAAAATTATACAGATTATGTTGCTACAAGATGGTATAGATCGCCGGAACTGTTAGTTGGTGATACTCAATATGGGACACCTGTAGATGTTTGGGCAATTGGTATTAATAAAATATTGCACTCGTAGAAAATAAAAATATCTTTTTAAATTTTTATTTTAGGTTGTGTTTTAGCTGAGTTAATAAGAGGAGAAGCTCTATGGCCTGGGAAATCAGATGTTGATCAATTGTATTTGATAAGATCTTCAGTTGGGGATTTATTACCAAGACATATGCAGGCCTTTAAAACAAACGATTTTTTTCAAGGTGTTACTCTTCCTGTACCACAACAGCTGCAACCGCTTGAATTAAAATTACCAATGTGTAATGAGGAATGTTTAGATTTTCTTAAGGTAATTTCCTTTTTTTTAATGTCCTTTTATAAAATGTTCATTGTTTGCAAAGTTAAGTATTACGCTTGCCTAACATTCCTTTACGGTTTAATTGACATTATTAAAGAAAACTGACCTTACTTAACATATTATTACCGGAACGAATAACATTACTAAAGAAAACTCACGTTGCTTAACATCCCTTCACGGTTTAATTGATATTACAAAAGAAAACTGATCTTACCTCACATTCTCTCGCGGGATGATTGACGTTTCAAAAGAAAACTAACCTTACTCAATAATCTCAATATTCTTTCTTTAATTGTTTATTTATCCGCGGAGCTGAAAATTTATAAATTGACATATGGAGCTTTGTCTTTTGTAACGGATAGATTTTTTCACTAAAAATCGTCTTAGTAGTGTAAGAATGCCGGTTGTAGACCGGAAGTTAATCCTGCGATGACGTCACGTTTCTATGTATTAAGTATAGGGAGCGGTGCCAACTGAAGTTTGGGGGAAAAAATTAGGTTGGTATTAAAAGTAACTAGAGATCTAGGGATTTTTTTATGAAAATAAACAGAAAAATTTAAATACAATGGCGCCACCTAGATTTGAGTGGTGTAAGTAGGAGTGAGTTATGCGCACTCTGGTGTGTGGTGGATAAATAAAACACAAATTTAATAAATAAAAATTAATATATTTATTTTAAAACACAATTTCTTTTCTTCAAATTTTTTTTAACATCAACCCTAATATATTTAAACATATTGTGATAATACTAATAATATTGGGTTCCACTCATAATTTTATTAACTAATTAATAAACAATAGTTTTGTTATAAGAAATAATTACAATAAAGAGGAAATAATGACATTCCGTAGAAAAATCCTTGTAAATCGAGAGCCTAGAGAGTTTATTAGTACTTCTTCAAATCGTTCAAATTAATATTATAATTAAAATATAAAGAACAACTCACGTATTGATATCAAAGTTGATATACCGAGGATAGTTAAAGCTGATCGTTGAAAAATTTCATAAAAGTTTGTTATAGTTCTCATTGATTTCGTCGTTATTTGTAAAAATGTTTTAATCAATGATAAATCCGTTCGTATTTCCGTCGTAGATTAAGAAATATTCTTGTATTTAGTTAAAAAAAAAGAGGCCACAAAAAAACGAAACATAACCTCCAAATCCAAAGTATTCAATTTATGGGTGATTACAGCCAAAAAACTTCTTGAAATACCTAAAAACATAAAGCTTATAATGAATTACATCAGATTCAAGTGATTTTAATCAGTTTAAAACCGAAATGTTGAAAATTAAAAATGTGAAGATTTTGAAAGAAACGGAATATAAATTTTGGAATTAAAGAAGAATTAATGTGAAAAATTGTGTCAAAGGGGAATGAAATAATTCAGAGTATTCAGATATTGAAGGATTTCAATAAATATAGTTTATTTAAAAAGTAATTTTTGAAAATTTGGAAGAAAAACCAAATGTCAATAAGAGATGGCGCTCAGAAATACAAATTTTGTACACTTTTTCTTGTGGTATCAAAGAGGGTGATGGACAAAAAAGAGAAGTTTTTGTCGATTTTTGCCAAAAAAAGGGTGAAAAATGAATAACGAGGACGCTAAGATTCGCTTCCTGATCATCATTGAGTAAACATCTATTTCGAAACGCTCGTGAAATCCTACGAAGATAAATTTCTGAAGAAAAAACATAACCAAAGAAATTCACAATTGAGGGAGAAGAAAAGAATCTAAAATGAATTAAGAAGAGTACGATAACCAACCTGGGAAAGAAGACATCGGAATAGTTTATCCGGAAAGCCACCAAGGGGTACCAGCACATTCCACCAAGGGGGAAAAGGGAGCAGTTCAAACCAGGAAGGAATCAAGATTTCAATCAATTCCACCAACATCTATAAAACCAAAGAAGTTAAGATTTTTTTTTTATTTTCGATATACCATTTCTAAAAAATAACTCACTCACCTCGTGTGTAATCCAGAGCGAATCAAAATCAATTATTTCAGATCACTTTGATTATTTCAATTATCAGAATCAATTTATTTAAGAAGTTTTAGAGCTGAAAGTTATAGATTAACTTAAATGTTTTTTTTTTTTTAAACATGAGCAACTGTGTTTCGTTTACATGAGCCCTAGAAAACAAACCTGAGATCGTTTACTTTCGTTATTTTTTTTGTAGAGTCTCGTGTTAGACATTTTTTTTCTATTTTTTCTATTTTCTATTAAAGATTGTTATTTATTTATTGTATTTAATTAAAGTATTTTTATTCATTTTCGAAAGACGGATACACATATTATCACAATATTAAAGACACTGAACCTCTGATCATCGAGGATGCATCTTTCATTGCTGTGGTTGTTGTAGGTTGATCTTGTTTTGCGGAGGTTCTTCCTCCTTTCTTAGAATTTTTAACTTTAAAACTTACTTTAAGTTTAGTTTACTTTGAAGTTATTGCATCATCTCCAGCTGATATTGTATTTAAATTTTTCTGTATATTTTCATAAAAAAATCCCGAGATCTCTAGTTACTTTTAATACCAACCTAATTTTTTTCCCCCAAACTTCAGTTGGCACCGCTCCCTATACTTAATACATTGAGACATGACGTCATCGCAGGATTGGCAGGATTAACTTCCGGTTTAGAACCGGTATTCTTACACTACTCGTCTTAGGGTCGGTTGTACAATCCTATAGATAGATTTATCATCTATCTATATAAATAACTATCCGGCTGATAAACTTATCGGGAGGAGGATGCTGGAGAGTATAATATAGTTTCAAACGATATGGCAACCAAGGCCAGACGCGCACTAGCGACTTTACTTGCGTCTTCAGACGCACGGCTAAACCCGAAACTTTCTAATTCTAGGTCTAGTGTTAGTTCTAGTTTTACACTAGCACTGTTACCAGAACTAACACTATACCTAGAACTAGAATCATTCGGGATTAGCCGTCTTGAGAGACATGCGGCTAAACCCGAATGTTTCTAATTCTAGGTCTAGTGTTAGTTCTAATTTTACACTAGCACTGTTACTAGAACTAATACTATACCTAGAACTAGAATCATTCTAGTTTGGCTGTTACCACTATTACCAGAACCAACACTATTCTTAGAACTAGAATCATTCGGGTTTAGCCGTCTTGAGAGATGCACGGCTAAACCTGAATGTTTGTAGTTCTAGGTCTTGTTCTAGGCAAAAAAAGAAAAATTAAATTTCGAAAAGGTGACAATTAGATGAAATCGTGGTTTTACGTCTTGTCCTGGTAGAGCACGGAATTTGAAACATTATAGAAAAAAAGGTTTAATATAAATGTTGTAACAACTTTAAAACGGACATTTCATATTGGCCAATAATTAAGCTTTCGAATGATATATTGTCCATCGAAATCGGTTGAGACGTTCTCTTGTTATAAACAAAATGGTATAAAATCTTCTTATGTTTATTGCGTATTTTTTGTAAGAAACCTAATTTCTTAACATTAAATGTTAATACGGTTTAGCTGTAAGAGTAATTTTGTAAATTACAGGTTACACCTGTAAATTGTGATGATGAATATGATTATAATTACAATGGAATAAATCGCTTATATAAAAAAAAATCTAATAAGAATGTATAAATAAGCGACCATAAGCATGAAAGTTTATTCATTCGGCGATAAAAACCCCGTTAGTAATGATTAATATCATTAAATTATTAACAATTATAATAACAGTAATTATTTTTACGTTTAAACAAGCTTTATTATGTGAAAATTGTTTGTGTAAACTCACAAAGAATTTAACTGTGGAAGAAACTTTAATAATAAATTCACCCAACTTTTCATTCGGTAACCAAACAATTTATACGGGAAACCGTCAAGCATTCAAACACATTTTTAATAATTACATTATACAAATAAAGAATTTAAAGGAATTCAACGACATTTTAAATACAATAATCTCAAATAATCCATATCATTGCAGAGCGCTTTTTATAATTCAAATTGATGACGATATTTACATCGAGAAAATTATACAAACATCATGGGATAATCTAATCAAAAAAATATTAATTATACACCAAGAGAAAGTTTATAAAATTAATTTCAAATCTTTTAATTGCATTAATTTAACATACACCAGTTTTAATTGTGATGAGTACTCTCCAAATTTTGATTTATACAATTGCCGCGTGAATGTATATTGGTTTCAAAGTCGACCATTTACGATAAACCCAAAAAATAAACACTATCCCGGATTAACATTTTCATCAGGGAAATTATTATTTGGAAAATATAATACAACGTTGTCTTATCGACAAGGTAATGATGGAATTGCCGAGGAATATGGAGCTAATGGATCATTTTATACCGTATTAAACGATTTTAATACAAATCTAAGCGATATATACATGGGCGCTTTTGTGATTATACCAAACAGCAAACAAAACTGGTACTTAGATTTCGATGTAAGCAGACCGATTTACATTGATTCGGGAGTTTTACTTATACCTAAACCGAAACCCATCGACCATTTCCGTGCTTTATTTTTAATTGTTGATCTAAACGTGTGGATGTGGTTACTTTTAGTTAATTTCATCGTAATCATAATAATTGCGTTAAGATTTTCGTTGGACCATCAAAAACTTGATTGGAAATTTTTCGAAGAAGCAACATTTTTAGCAATAAGAATAAATTTATTAGTACCAGCTAAAATAAAATCAAATGGAAAACGATTCCTCCTTTCCATTTATCTATTTTACGCGTTAGTTTATAATTCAGTATTTCAAGGTAGATTATACAGCATTTCAACCGTTCCAATCCCCGGAAAATATTTAAAAACCATCGATGATGTTATCGATTCAAATTACCAAGTGAAACTACAAGAAACGACCGCCGATTATATCCGCATGATTAATCCGAGATTTAAAGATTACACCATAACACCAAACATTCATAAAGATATATTCAACTTTATGCAAAACAAAAATTTCATTACCTACACGTATTCGACGTTTATATTACCGTATTATCATCAAAAAAATCAGTTTAAAACGATTCACATCATGTCAAGTTTTGGAAAATTAATTTTAAAACATTGCCATCCGATGTTTGACCAAATTGATCGAGACGCACAAATTTTATCGTACGCTGGATTCTTATCGAAATGGAAAAATGATTTGAAAAGAATTTACAACGGTTCAGATATCATCGAAATGGATCAAAATCCCAAGAAAACTAAACTTCGTAATTTAGAGGGATCATTTTATTTATTAGGAATTGGATTGTTTATGTCCTTTATAGTTTTTATCGTGGAAATTGCTATAAATTTTTTTAAATATAACTTTGCATCCAAAGTTGTGAAGTCTAATGATTAATCTAATGTTTAATGATTATATCTTAATACTAAATATCTCAAGTAAATGTTAATTGGTGTGCATGTTTTAAATAGCTGTATTTAGAAAGATCCTAAATAAATAAAATTCTAATTATTGTTAAAAATAAAGTTTGCTACAAATTAAACTTTAACGTAACGATTTCATCCAATTTTCACTTTTTTTAATTTTTCTCGAATTGTATGCACCTGAGAGGAAAAGTGTAACAGAGCAATATTGTTGAGAATAAAGTTTGCCACAACTTTTATACTAAAACTTTTTTTCTAAAACGTTCCGAATCCCATGCTCTACCAGCAACAAGATGTAAATTCACGATTTTATCTAATTGTCAGCTGTTCGAATTTTTCTCGATAATTATGCATCTAAAAGCAAAAGTGTAAAAAAGCAATATTGTTCAGAATAAAGGCTTTCCACTTTCATATTGGCTAATAATTAAGCTTTCGAATCGATCGAAATCGGTGAAAAGTTTTCTTGTTGTAATCAAAATACTATACAGGGTGTCTCAGCGAGACCGGTCATTAGACGTTTCTGGGGTTCTAGCCAAACAAAAAATTTGAGAATGCAGACTTAAGTATTATCAATTACGTTCTCTTCATCTAAAATATTTTCAGATTTCTAGCACTTCCGGTTATACCGGAAGTCGCCACCTACTTTATTTTTTTAAATGGAACACCCTGTATATTTTTACATATTTGGATTTGTCTGTTTTGAAGGTTTATAAATAACTTTACTTTTTGCAATTTGAACCAGCAATTCTCGAGTTATTCGAATTTTTCTAGAAAAATTTGCTCCAGCGGACATTTGTTCAAAAAATCATAGAACACTCAATTTTTGAGATATCAATTTAGGATTCAGAACATGCTTAAACAACATGATGGAGTATGTTTTGGTGCCGAGAACGGCTGTCTAGATCGTTTGGTCACTTTACTATGATACGTTAACTTTTCGAAATTTGGAAGCACCATAACTTCATTTTTTTAAATGGCACCCCCCATATTTTATTACTTAGTCGTCTTCGGCGTCTCATTTTACATCTTTTATATTCCATATGTCCTATGCCTAACATTAATAGTTTGAGAAATAATTAGGGTTTTTTGAAAAATGCTCACATATCATATGGATATTAACCTAGTGTGCCATGGAAAACAAATGTTTAATGACTTATTGATAAACGTCAAAGTCTAATTTAGGTTGTTTGATGCTTGTGAGTCTAAAACCAGTTAAAATGGATATTAATAACGTAAATAATGTTTATACAAATGAAGAAATCCATAATTTATTTTTTGTGCACGAAAAGTGCGACAAAGTTCTTAGTAGAACTTGCAGAATGTTTAATGAAAATTATCCACATTTATCTCCGATGACAAAAGGTAAATTTAGAGGAATAGAAGCAAATTTTTTGCATTTTGGACGAATTAATCACGTGTTAAACTGACCAAAAAATGTAGTAGATAATGCAACGGAAGAGGTGAATACCTTGGCTTATTTCGAGCCCAGTCCCAACACCTCAATTCGAGCTGCCAAAGAAGATCTGGGAATCATACTACGAACTTTGTCGCGCTTTTCATGCAAAAAAAATAAATTAAGAATTTCTTGATTTGTGTAAATATTACTTTCGTTATTGTTATCGATTTTAACTCGTTTCAGTACTAATATTAAGGGACATAACAGATAATTATTAGCTCACATGCATCAAGTGACGTAAACAAGTGAGTCTTTGACAAGAACTCATTGAGAAGGCTTGTTTTTCATGGCACACTAGGCTAAATATCCATATGATATGTGTGCATTTTTCAAAAAACCCTAATTATCTCCCAAACTATTAATATTAGGTATGGGCCATATGGGATATAAAAGATGTAGAATGAGACACCGAAGACGACTAAAAAATAAAATATGGGGGGTGCCATTTAAAAAAATGAAGTTATGGTACTTCCAAATTTTGAAAAGTTAACGTGCCATAGTAAAGTGATCAAACGTTCTAGACCGCAGTTCTCGGCACCAAAACATACTCCATCATGTTGCTTAAGCATGTTCTCAATCCTAAATTGATATCCCAAAAATTGAGTGTTTTCTGATTTTTTGAACAAATGTCTGCTGGAGCAGATTTTTCTAGAAAAATTCGAATAACTCGAGAACGACCGAATCAAATTGCAAAAAGTAAAGTTATTTATAAACCTTGAAAACAGACAAATCCAAATATGTAAAAATATACAGGGTGTTCCATTTAAAAAAATAAAGTTGGTGGCGACTTCCGGTATAACCGGAAGTGCAAGAAATCTGAAAATATTTTAGACGAAGAGATCGTAATTGATAATACTTAAGTCTGAATTCTCAAATTTTTATTTTCGCCAGAACCCCAGAAACGTCTAATGACCGGTCTCGCTGAGACACCCTGTATATGTATGTAAAATATTATCTAATTAATTTTTATTTATAGAAATGTGTAGATAAAGACCCATCAAAAAGGTGGACTTGCGAACAATTACTTTCACATACATATTTCAAAAATTTCAATTTTAAAAATGAAGATGCCGATTCTCAAGTTAACGATCGTAATCGTGATCGTTCCCGTGTAAGTTTTCAATTTGTACTATTTATAACACAAAAATGTTATTTATTATTTTAGTTTCTTTTTCAGAACTCCAACAAAAGCATGACATTACCCATGCTAAACCTTACAAAACCAATAAGCCCTCATAAACCTTTAGTTCTACAACAACAAAAAAGCAATAATAAAGTTGATCACCTTCCGAATATTTGACAAAAATTGTCATTTTTTACAAAATAAATGTGAGGAAAAATCTATTAAATTATTAAAATGTTGTGGAATTGGGGTGTTGGGAAATCGCACTTATAATTATAATTAAAATTAAAAAAAGAAACATGTTGTTTTGCGCACTAATATAGTTATCAAGTTATTTTCGAAACTCTATCTGTTAAAAGAAAAGAAAAAAATAAATATTTTCTTTAAAAACAATTTTATTAAAAAAAAAACCCAACCCATTCATTTATATCCCCAAAAAAAACCTCCTTATTCATTCTATTTAATGAATATGATATTTCAAAATGGAACGTCCTCGTCCAAATTACTTTTGGGTTTTCCACTTTACGTTCGAACGTATCGGACGTTTCATAACGAAATACATTGTGAACGGTGGTGAACGTTACGAAATGATTACTTAAAAATTCATATCCTGTTATGATCTGGAATGATGTCAAATGCGATCTAAAATTAGCTTCTATTGTGGTGTTGCTTAATAACAATACGTCTGGATTTGGTACGATGTTGTTAGTATGCATGAGATTTTCTCCAGGTGCAAACCATGAGGTCATAACGAATTCAATAACAAATTCAAAAATAGAATAAAGTGTATATTAGTTTTCTAATTATACCATCATTCAAAAAGTAATTTTATTTTCAATGAATTGTTAATATGAGTATGTTTTGAAGTTACAGTGTGAAGTTAGACAACAAAATTATAATAAAAACCAATTAAAGAATAAAAAAGGCTATAATAAGTGTTTTATTGTAATTTTGTTTACAATACTTTCTCCAGTACAATATACAGGGTGTCTCACGTAACTGGTTCGTTAGAACTTTTTAAGGTTCCACTATTCGTAGTGGTTTGAAATTTTGGTAGCATGGGTTGTTCATTCTAAACTTTCGATCTAAAATATTTTCAAGATGGCCACCCTTTCCGGTCTACCGGAAGTAGACCACAACTTCCTTATTCTAAATGGAATGCTATAGTTTTTATTACACCTTTCAATTATACGTAAAAAAATATGTTGACTTTGATAAAAGTTGTTGGTACCTAGCGTTTTTTGTTTTCGAGTTATATAGATTTTAAGTGTTTTTTGACAAATTTCACCATGGTCTTTAAAAGCCAATATCTCAGCTAACGATCATTCAAAAAAGCTCTGCATTGGCACGACTACTCTACAGATGCTGCCAAATAGATTATCATTTGTTGTATCAGAGAATCTTATACAGGGTGGTCAAAAATTGAATTATCGTTTCTCAATATTCAATTGCGAGAAAGTTGAAAATTTTAAATGGAACACCCCATATTTCTTTACCCTATCAAAAAGGGAATTTAATTTTCTACAAATTATCTATAAACATTCCTATACCTATTTATTGTAGTTTCCCTGATATTGAGACATTAATCAAAGCATGCACGGAATGCGGGAAAAAGTTTGATTTTTTTATTAGAAGGAATGGAATTTTGACAGTTTTTGGTCCATATTTGTGTTATTGTTGTTGTTACTTACTTTTGATCACGAGTGAAAGTCATTGTATATCATGGCAAATTATTCCAACGCCGATATTTTAAATTTGTTTTATATTCATGGCAATGGCCTTCACGATCTCCAGATTTAACACCATTGGATTTTTATTTGCGGGGTCACTTAAAAAATCAAGTGTACAATTCACCGATCAACACCCGACAAAGGCTTTTTAATGAACGTTAACTGAGATATAGACTTTTAAAAAGCATGGTGAAATTTGCCAAAGAAAGCTTAAAATCAAAATAACTCGAAAACAAAAAATGGTAGGTACCAACAATTTTTATCAAAGTCAACATATTTTTTTATGTATAATTGAAAGGTGTAATAAAAACTATAGCATTCCATTTAAAATAACGAAGTTGTGGTCTACTTCCGGTAGACCGGAAGTGGTGGCCATCTTGAAAATATTTTAGATTGAAAGTTTAGAATGAACAACCTATGCTACCAAAATTTCAAACCTCTATGAATAGTGGAACCTAAAAAAGTACTAACGAACCAGTTACGTGAGACACCCTGTATATAATGCAATATATGTAATGCATATGCTCAAACCCTCTATCCCTTCTCCCTCATCTCTACACCATTGGTTCCTCGGCCCCCGTCTCCTAAAATCTGCTTCCTGTCCATCGCCTCCTCCCTCAGCTTCACATCGTCCGCCCAGTATCTGTTCCCTCGTTCCTCATTGCCACAGCAGAATCTGGCCACCAATCTCTTCTCTTCCATCAACAGATACTTTGGCACTTTCTCTGTCACTATTTTCCAATACCTTTATATCTCCCATCTCGTATCTGGGACCTTCTCTCCTACCTCTGTATGTCCCTAACCCTCTCTTCCTGCCCATATATTAACTCCTTGATTTCATTCCAGAACTCTCCCAGCATCTTGCAATGCGGTCTTCCTTCCATCCTTTCTTTGTACTTCACTGCTCTTCTCCCAGCTTCCACCCTTACTGCATCCACTTTAACCTTTTTCCTCACTATATACCCTGGAAAATATCTCTCCAGTGACCTTATCATCTCTTTCATCTCCACCTCTCTTATCAAGACCTTTGTTCCTCCTATCTCTATAAAAAAGACTATAAATTTGACTTTAATTAATAAAATAGGTAGTAACTTACAAAAACAATTCGTCTTTTGTGTTTAAGTAAATTTTTTTATCGAAAACGAGATGATAGAGTTTTGTTTAGTGTATATCTTATTGTTTATTATACAATAATCACGTTTACAAAAGTAAATAAAATTTCAAAAAGTACAATACATTTTAATAATAATAATAACTGAAAAACTTAACTTTTTTTCCCAAAAAAATTAAAATCTTGTCCTTTTCCTCGTCGAACTTCTTCAAATTTATTCATTATTTCATCAATATTCTTTGGGCAATATTTTTGATCCATTGTGAAAAATTTATCATCACCTTTTACATCAACTTTTGAATGAGTGTTTGGGTATAAAACGGTTGTTGATATAGGAGGTGTTTGTCGAAGAGTTGGAGAACTAGTATTCTCTAATAACTGACATGAAGGTGTTAAATTTTCTTCGGATAGTAAAGATTTGATTTGATATTCGTTGGATATGGTGGAGCTGTAAGCCGGTAAGTTATTTAAAATAAAATTTTTCTGACTAATATATTTCTGTCGGAAATATTCGCTGGCATTCATATCAAAATCGGGTTCTTTAAATTTAATGCTGGAAAAATCTAAGTCTTTGATTTTGTTATAATCAATAGGAGGGGAATAACCTATTTGATTTTCACACTTTTCCGTTTTAGTTCGTCCACTGAAATGTTTGTATTCAGGATTTTGATATAAATCGTGAGATTTTGACGAGTTATTTTTGAACGTATCACAATTTGTCATTTTTTTCAAAGGTGTCTTTCCACTAAAACTATTTTCGTTCTTTTCAGTTTTCTTATTAACAATTTTTTTCCCAAACGATTTTTTATTAGTACTAATTGGAATTGAACCAATTTTTGTTGTATTCGTTGAATTTTCTACAGACGAGGACTGTTTTGAAGGTTTCTTTGTTTTCGACACAATCGATTTTGTAATTGCTTTCCGATTCATTTGACATTTTTTAGTATCTTCTTGAGTGGGAAGATTTAAATCTTGTTTTGAAGACAAATCATCTTTACATACAAATTGACTATTTCCTATGCACATATCGTCATCGTGTTTCTTTAAAATTGCGTCACAAATTGCCGAAATAAGCGTGTTATGTTCACCGTACGAATGATATAATTTCTTGGATATGTTCGTCTTGAAAATGTCATCATTTAGATTTAACGGTTTAGGAAGGTTCTTTTTTGGTAATCTTGGAGATAAATTAACTTGAGTTGTACTCAAATTGTATTGTTTTCCGCTTAAAGGACTTGAAAATAATCCATCGTCGATAAAGAAATTTTTTGGTTTTCTTCTTGGGGTCATACTTTGTAAGAAATCATTTGTCCAATCGATCGTTGTTTTGTAAATCGGAACATCTCCGATATTTTTCTTGTTTTTATCACAAGTTAAATCGTATTTACCATCCCATAAGTCTCGCATTACTTCAGGCATTTTCCTCGATAAATTTGGATCATCATAACTCGTTGCTTTATTTTCTACTATTGGTATGCACTGTATTGAATTAGTTTTTACCATTTGAGTTTTTGTTGATTTTTCTTGTTCAGCTTCTTTAAATTCTTTTTTGGGACTTTTTTCGTCGAAATATTCAGCTCGAGGACAAGGTCCTTTTACATTTACGCATTTATCACATATTGTACATTTTCCCGCATAAGACCCACGATTTGCTGGAATCGACTCAGTCGTGTAGCGTTTCGATTTAATTGCGCAGCATTTACAACATTTACAACATCTTTTTGGAAAATCTGTTTGTGTGAACCTTTCTTTTATGTTTTGAATTGAAGTTTGCGTGTTTCTATGAACATCGATGACTTCATGTTGTTCAGTACAACATTTACATTCGCAATAATCAACATCACACACGCAACAACAGTCTTTTTCTGGACTACATTCTGCGTAATGACAAGGTGAGTATCCGCGGAATGCCGTTTCTTTATAATTTTCTGGAGTTTGAGTTTCCTTAAATCGCGAATACACTTTTGGGTCATCAGAAATTGTATCTTTCGTCGAATAGATATCTTCGGAAATACTGGAATTTAATGATGGTCTATTACATTTGTTATGAGTTCTATTGCAATGATTTTTTGTGTGGTGATGTTTCTTCTTGGGAACATATCGTGCAAATGGGACTGGGTATGGATAAACAAATTGATTTGCACAGCTTTGAATGTATTCATTATATGTTGGTCTTTTTTGTTTAAATCCGAATATATTTTTTGTTGTTGATTTTACCGCATTCCATGCACGCTTTGTGTAAGAACCTTTTGAATCCTCGCATTTTTTGTAAATCCGTCCGCACTCGCACGGTTCATAATACTCCGGTTGAATACAAACATGAGGATGTTGCCCGTTTAAAGTTCTTTTTTGTGGGTAAGGATGTTGATAAGATTGGTTATCGGTGGTTTCGGAAGAAACCGCTTTTTGATTTTTAACATGATCAATGTTAACCATCAATTTCGGTTTGCAATCCACTTCGCCACAAGGAACATATTTGTACGAACAAGTAATCGGCCGATAATCAAAATTATCCTCTCTTTTGTGCTGAGTGCTTTTAGCATGATACTTCTTATCTTTATTCTTTTTGATTTTTGTGAAGACTTCAAATGGTTTTTCAGCTGGAATTCGACGACAATCTCTCGGTTCAAAGCACACACAAGTATTGTACTCGTTATCGTAATACAACTTTCTTTTAATCATACTTTAATTTTAATATATTCATCCCAAGATTTAACTTTATTTCACCTTCGAAACGTGTCCAACGTCAAATCAACGTGGTTATTGACATTTCAGGTTTGACGACCTTTCGTTTCACCTTCATTTCCGTTTAATTTACTTTGAAATATAAAAAAAAAAGTAGAAATATCACCGTGCGTTGAGCAATCGCGCTAATGCGGTTCTATTTATAATATAGAAAGAGTGCGTTTCAACGTTGTTAGTTAATCTTGGAAAAATTCTCAATATGCAGGCGGAACCGGGATATATTTATTAGGAAATTAAAAAGGCAGGTTGTACAATGTTATGATAAATCTATCTGATAACTATCTATATATTTTTCCATATCTAGTAATTTGTGACGGTAAAGAAGAATCGAAAAATCAGTCTAACTACTGTGCAAATGATGCAACGAAGAAGAATCTTCGTCTTTTATCTAGAAATAAAAGAGATAAGAAGATTAATAAGCAGGTGTTGAGGGCCATAAGGAAAGATATTAGAATTTGTAATAAAGAGAAGATCAAACAAACTATACGGGGAAATAAAAGCTTAATGGTCTTAAGCAGAAGACTGGGTATTGGGAGAAGAGAGATAAGCAAAATTAGAAACAAACAAGGAAGAATAATAGCGAATAAGGAAGAAATATTGTGGGCTGTGGTGGATTTTTACCAGCTGCTATACAAAAGCCAGTGGGATAAGAATATGAAGTTAGATCCGGAACCAGACATACTATCAGAGGAAATGGGCATTAGAAACCAAAGATCTGAAAAAATGCCAGATATTTTGCTAGAGGAGATTGCGTTTGCTTTAAGAAAGCCCAGAAATAATAGAGCACCGGGAGAAGTTTCTGTGGCTACAGACAGAATAAAGATGGGTGGTCTCCGCTAGCTCCTCTGTCTGTTTAACAGCACAATACGCCTTCTGAATCACCTCTACAAACTATTCTTGAGAACACTGATCACCAGACATGAAAATAAACTAGAACACTACCAGCCGCTGGAACAGGCGGCCTTTTGAACCGGATTTGGAACCAACGAAGAAATCGACTACAACAGGCCCTTGGTGCTAGCTTTTGTTGACTTCCAGAAGACCCTTGATTCCGTTGAATGGGGGCGGTTTTGAAAATGTCGCGTCGATAATCGATACTCAAAACTAATTTACAACATCTACAGAAAAGCGACTATGGTGGTTCATTTACATGATTGGAGTGAACATATCCCAATTGGTAAAGAGGTAAGGCAAGGTGACACGATGTCTCCTAAGCCATTTATTATAGTCCTGGAATATGCATTCATAAAGCTGGACTGAGAGAATCAAGACATAAACATAGACGGTCGAAAACTGACGGGAAAAATTATGTTGAGCGTTGATGATGCTGCGTGAGCTGAAGGAAGTATGTGCATCGGTTGGTCTGGAAATCAATATCTCTAAAATAAAATTTATGACCAATCTTGTTCCCAGCGAAAACATTGTGATGAAAGGAAAGGAGATTGAACTAGTAGATAAATACACCTATCTTGGCGATAAATTAAAATTACACGAGACAAGCAGATCTGCGAACTAAGGATGAAAATAATCCTCTCATGGGCAGCATATGATAAACTCAGATATGTGTTTATTTAAGAGCAACCTACCAATGTCTAAAAAGAAAAATGTTCGATCATTACATGACCCATGGGGCAGAAACACTGACTTTAACCATAACATCTGCCGACAGGCTTTGAATAACACAGCGTATAATGGGAAGCTCACTAAGAAATCACGTTACAAATGAGGATTTGCGCCGAAGAACACACGTTACAGTCGTCATTTTTCGCATCGTCAGACTCAAACGGAACTGGGCTGGACGTGTAGTCCGAAGGAGAGATGGAAGGTGGACGAAAAGGATGTTGGAATGGAGACCTCGAGCTGACAAACGGAGTAGAGTCCACCAACTCGATGGACATCAAGAGATTGCTAATAACCAGTGTTGTTAAATACCCGGGTATTTATTTTCAAGGGTAAATATCCTGGATATATACCCGGGGGTATTTACCCAAGATGGGTATTTTGAGGTATTTATAAATTTAATTTAAATTGAGTTGATGGCAGTTTTGCAAGCACTTCAAGAATGCAGAGTCGCTTATCGACATACCAAACTTATTTATAACATCTACAAGAATGCTACAATGACGGTAAAATTGCATGAAAGTATTGAAGAGAGTAAAAGTAGTAAAGTACTGATTGTGAGTAAAACAAGGCGGGACACTGTTGAACTCAAATTGTTCATCACAGTCCTCAGAGTGCATTTAAACAACTGGATTGGACCCAAAAA